CAGCCCGCACCCTCGCACACCCCACTCAAGTCCTCCGGGGGCGCTTTCCGGGCTGGTTACGCGTCTGCTTCTTCCGGAGCCTGGGCGCCGGGTCGGTCTGTGGCTCGGTGCCTCGATGCGCCCACCGACTAGGACCCGGCGCTCCCCTGCCTCCCACGCACCTGCCCGCGCACGACTCCCGGGAGGGTTATTATTGTTATTGTTTTCTGGACAGTTGTCTGGTTTGGTGAAAAACTTGCCCTGTTGCCAGTCCTCTGGCTCTGGTGGCTACACCGGGAGTTTATGTAGTCCCTTTCTTTTAATCTCCTTTATTGGTGAGAGATGAAAGCATTACTATCCCACGTTGTGCAGCTGGGGAGAAAGGAAAATTGAGAGGCAAAGACTTGGTGTAGGAATGCTGTTTGGAATATTTTCTGAGATACTGGCATCACATTAATCAGAGGAAGAAGAGAGTAGGGACACTTACTTGCTTTCTGGTATGGATCGGTGGATATCTATATATAATACAAATAATACCGAATATTATTGGGCCCAAAATAACCAATTAAGTAATTCATGCAAGAGAAAACTTAGATTAAAAAAAAGAAACTGCGCCCTCTGCTGTTTACTTTGGTAACCTCACCTGAGAACCTTTTTGACACGCCCCCCCCCCAGTACATTTGAATAGGTTGTCATTTTACAAGGTAAGGGAGGAAAATTCCCTTAGGAATGTTTTAAGACAACTTCATTTGGAAAAATCTCAGGCTGAATCCCTATCGTTACATCAGGTATAGATCAGAGTGTAGAGGCTTTCGTTCTCCACTCGCTCCCATTTTTCTCTCCACAAGGAATAATAGAGGCACTCCTTGTCATGAGTTTGTCAATGGCTGGAATGGAAAATTCTGAGTAAGATTTAGAATTCGACTAAACATATGGTGAACCTGGCAGTAAATTTTCTCTAGAAATAAGGTCTCCTTTTGTGGCTGAAAATGCTAAACATATTCTTATCTTGCAGAAATGAAAAAAAGATTTTCCATCAAAATCGTTTGTTTCAATATGCTTGGGGTTAAGTTCGCTGGAAAGTTTTCCAGAAATCTTTGCTGGGGAAGGGTAAGGCTCTTCAAATTTGCCTGGCCCTTGAGGAGTATCTCTAAGCTGTGAAGAGATCAGCAAGTCCATATTTCATGAAGTATTTTGAACTGTGTCACTTTGAATGCCTTGCCCACCTTGCTTTCTGTTTGGCAAAGAAAAAGCAATTCCATAAGTGTCTGAGATTATTTTTGAGGCTAAGTGACAGGCTTTTTCATTAAAATAAAATGTGTATCTCTACGTGTGGATCAACATGCAAAGAAAAAAATGCATCAAGGGTTTCACATGTGATATTGCTCCAGTGTACATAGACAAGGGATATATTTTCTTTTTTGGATGCCATGAAATCAAATATATTTAATCTTTAAAGACAAACATGAGAGTATGTGGGATTTCATATGTCTGGGTATCAGTTTGATGATACTTCCTATTATGAGATTTAAGAGCAGTAATCATACAAATTTTATCAAGGAGCAATTTATTTAGACAAAAAGCTCTTTTCTATTAAGATTTTTAAAAAATTTTTCTTTCACTGGGTAGGCATGTGGATTACAATGATCTAAGTTAGCTTTTAAGGAAAAGGCTACTACAGTTTGCAGTTCCTTTTGTATGTTTGGATTTAGTGCAAATACTTGTCTTTGGTTCTGGTAAAGTATTATTCTGAAAAACATCAGGCAATGTGTTTAAAAGTTAAGCTATTACACATTTAGTTGATAGGTTTTCTAAGTACAGATTTGGAGGCGGTTTTTAACTTACAGAAGCACCAAGTCACAGGCAAAGGAATAAATTTTCATACAACTTAGGAAACTAATTATATGTTAATATTGAAAAGTGTGTGTGTGTGAGAGAGACGGAGAGAGAGACAGAGAAAGAGAGAGAGGATTATATTGTATTAGAGATCAGTATGTGATTTTAGCATACTTTCAAAACTAATTTTATTTTCAGACCCAGAGTTTTGTTCCAAAACTTCAGGTGGCAATAGATTTTCTCAGATGTGTGTTTGAGACATTGGATCTCTAAATGTCCCTGTGTGAGAAGGAAACATTTGTTGCTCCTTGGTCAATTAAACACCAGATTTCTTGTAGACTTCACTGATTTTGAAATAATTTTATGTACTATCAAATTCCCAAACACTTGCAAAATATATGCCATCTAATTTTGCTCTTTGGTCTTCTCTTGGTGAAAACAGAGATCTTTCAAATACTAAAGTGTGTTACCTGTATTATTAAGAATCTCCTAATAGGCACTTGCTCAAAATACCCAATCAAGAATCAGTAAGATGTGCCTATGATGTTGCAGTACATGCTAAATTCCTTGTATTTTGAGAGACAATTAACAACACAGCAGCCTGTGTTTCCCATTAAGAAGAATAAAAGATGCTTTTTCACAACAAATAAATAAGTGCAAAAAAGCATTCAATATATGTTAAAACAGCTCAGGTAATAAATATTATTATTATAGCTGTGCTGGAAGGTGCTAATTTTTGGAGGTTACAGAGTTTGTATATCTTTTCCTCTTTCTATTTTTCTCTCAATGGCTTGTGATTATAGTCAATTTTCCTTTTGTTCCTTGTCATTCAGAAGCATATTTATAAAATTCTTAAAGTCTGTGAAGAGTGAGTCAATAGCTGTCTATTTCAGGTGCCCCCAAAGAGCTGAAAATTTATGGAATAAATAGCCTACTACCATCACCCCCACCTCCTAGTGACTTTATATAATAAAATGAATGCTGAAAGCCAGCTAGTGTTAGTAGATTTACTGGCAATATTTTCCTCTTACTTGATAAAATTGCCTTTGGAACATCATTACCTATAATTTTAATCATTATTATTTCCATATAATATCTTGGGAGGATTTTTATTTATTCCTGATGACAGAAAGGGCGCATGAAATGTCTTCTACAAAGATAATCCAAGGTGTAAGGGAATTAGCTTCAGAATCCTGGAGAAACATATGTTCCATCTGTGCAAAACTATTTTATAGCGCATTTTAGCCCTGATGAATAATATCTATCAACTGGAGGCCCATGAAATAATTTTATATTTTTTCCTTGGCTCTGAAATGTATATGCCAGAGGTCTTTGGGGGCATTTGTGGCATTTTAATGGGCATTTTTTTTTAATCAAAAAGGACTTGAGTTCACAGGTAGAGCTAATGACATTATTTGATTACAGTGAGTCCCCAAGCTTGACAAATTAAAGAACCAGAGATGGGGCTGCCCAGAGCTCCTCTGAAGCTTCCCTTGTTTGGGTGATCTGGACACTGGAGACAAATTCAAAAGCCACATTACTTGGCAATTAGTTCAGTTATGGGCAGGGAGGGATATGTTTAGTATATTAAATCTGAACATATGTCATTGACTGTCCTTCTCACAATCGGTTTGCTTAGCTATTTGTCCTGACGACCTAGGATTTAAAAATCTGTTGGTATTTTAACCTGGTTGACTGCAAAGCCCGATGGGAACCAGGGTCATTAGGTAATAGAGGTTGCAGTGTAAATAATATTCTATTTGTGTATCATTTTATTTCCATTGAAAACTCCATAATTATACTTCAGCAGCAAATCCTTGATTTTCACAGGCAGAGGTTTTCTATTGTGTGTGAGGGAAGTTCATACATTTAATTTATTACTAATTTGAAGTTAAAAGGATTTTCTTTGAAAGGTACTATGTGCCACCCTGAAAAGTGAGGAGACACTGAAATGAAGAATGCATAGTAGGTGATGTTCCAGAATTAAAAATTACAATGAAATAAAATAATGATGTTAGAGAATAGTATAGTGACCTTCTGTTCCTTCTCTGTAATATGCTGTGGTCAATGTCTTTTTCTGTGTCAATGGGAGCTCATTAAATGTAAATTCTCCAGACCAACTGAGCTTTGCTATATTAATGCTTGCCAAAGCTTGACATTTTTAATACATTAATAATATGTCTGTAATGTAATGGAAAACTATTAATCACAACTGGTTATGTGCCAGAAATTTAAGCTATAATTGGCTGCTTCTTGTCAAGAATGTCTGTCGCACAGTCCTGCAACTGCCTAATATTCAAATATCTTACGTTCCTCTGCATTTTTCCTTGTCACGTCTGTAAATTCGATCAATGGGGTAGACCATAATTCTGTGTAATGATCCATCATTATCATTCTGGTATACCTTAATAAGAATTCATTACATTGGGATTGCTGTTGTGTTAGGAGATAGTAACAGGTTCATATGTTTCCTTAGTGTCCACATTTTTTAGGTAAGAATGTACGGTCACCCTTTATTACAAAGTTACAGTAAGTCAAAAATGTGGTTAAGGAAACTATAACCAAGGTTAAGTGGATTTAGAGAATCATATTGTTTTTTAAAAAGTGAAGGCTAATCTCAGGGATCATTCAATATATGCCTCACGTTTTATTTTTAAAATAATATTTATTACAGGTTAACACAACCTACTCAGTTCAGTTTCAAAACAGTCAGTTCCAAGTCTTTGATTATATTGTTTTCAATAAATAAATTATAGTGTATTTGAAACTAAGAATTGAAGTTAACAATTTCTGACCTAGTAGGTTTTACACTGCCTCACTTGTAATGCCCACTCCCTGCATCCCCAAAAGTGTTTGTTTTCCCTTATAATATAAACATAGTTGAAAAATGTATCTAGAAATTATAGATTTCCATCATTTTAACAACTTTCTGCATTATAAATTGTCAGGGTGTTGGATGTTGCCGAAAATATCAAATTAAAATTACTAATGAGTCTGAAAAAAACAGAAAGCTGTAGTAGCCACAACACATGATTCTCTGATTTTTTTTCTTTTTAGCTAAAGATTTCAAAATGTGCTCAACACAATATAGTCTGGAAGAGGAAGATTCAAATCTGTAGTTTATACATGTTTAGACACACTGCTAATTATTGCTTCATAGGAACTCAAATATTCAACACTTTTCCTAATAGAAAATATCACAAATTGCAGCTGTATGATAACATTTTATGAATTGAATATAATGAAAATTGCGCTTGCATCTATAAAGCAATTATTATAAATTACTTTGCTATGGAAACACAATTCAACCATCTGTTGGCATTTCATAGTCTCTGTGGCTTAGTTCATTTTAAGATGGTACATTATTTAAATATAGTGAATTCCTTTTATAACATTGTTTTAAGATAGTGAACTTCCATATTTAAACTGTTTAATGTGAATTGAAAGATTTATGATGGATTTTCCAGAGTTACAGGGTTTTTCATCCTTTTTGAGCCATTTTTTCAAAGTTAATAATTTGGAGTATGATTATGCACCAAATAATTAAGAAAACACGCCTTTTTTTCCAAACATCTGGATTCCAAGTATTAATGCTTATTTAGATTTGAGCGATGATCTCTAAAGAGAAAAGTTGCCAATTAAATTCATCAATGACTTGTGTCTGTAGCTATGCAGACTGCGTTGTCAGTTTACCATATGGACTTTTAAATGATAATTTTTATTTTCTCTTAGAATTAGTGCCGTATTATTCTGCTTCATGGCCTGTTAACTCACCCTCAGCTATTTTTATATGTGCATTTTAAATTGTGCATTTTTACTACAGAGCTTTTACTTTTAAAGCAGCCCATAATATGTGCCTTTGGGACAAATTCTCTTCTGTTAGAGAAAGTAACTGAAAATGCAGGTGTAATAGCTATAAAAAGAGAAAAGAAAATAGGAAATTCTTATGAAAGGAAGATTTGCTCCTTTGGTTTTACTTCTGGAATTTTTTTCAGAGAGGCAAAGTTATCTTTGTCAGTAAATGCAGCTAAACAAAAGGTTGCTAAACTCTTCCAATATAATAAGGAAATCTAAAGGGACAGGCTTACACCAACAAAGCTAGTTTTCACTTTAGCGAACAAAAGCAATGAAATGTACAAGGAATTTGGAGATTTTTAGGGTCTCTTTGCCAAGAAAAAAAAAGGGGGCATACACATAGTTGTCATTTCTTTGTCATTGTTATTAAAAAACTCATCTCCTCCATTGTTCTCTTAAAAGATTTTTCTAGCAACTCAATCATTAAGAAATATTTAAATCTAGCAGTGTGCTCTGCTAAGAAAGGAGCACACTGGATGGAATTTAGCTCAGTGGTTCCACTGCCTGCTTTGCTCGTGCAAGGACCAGAGTTCCAGCCCCAGTACCCCCCCCAAAAAAAAGAAAAACACAGAAGCATACTTTTTGAAATGAAATGCAACTCACCTGGAATGCACATCTTGTCTTTTTTATGCAAGAGCTAAACACTTCTTGTCAAAATCCTCCCCAGCACGAATGACTTTTCAGGTTTGCTCATTATAGCCAAAGCAACTGCGGAAAGGTTAGCCACATTACACCAATTTGCTTTGTATTACCTCAAACCTCCAAAATGTCAACATATCAAACATTTTGTAATGCATTGATTGTGGAACAATAACTCTTACTCTTATTGTTTTTAAAAGGATACTGCTGCCAGAAGCACAGAATGATTGATGGGAAGCAGACACTGGACTGTGAGACACTCGTCCTTCTGCTTTAGATACTGATATCTCAGCGCTCTCGGCGCGCCTGAACCACCCTCGTGAGCCGTGAACACTGAGGATCACTCAGGGTTATCAGATGCATAATGGGAGAGTCATCACTTTGCTAAGCTATCTGCTCCTGGACATCTTTGGCCAAAACCAAACGAGACCTGAGTCTAAGAGATACGTTCTAGGATGAAGAAAAGGCCGCAAGGTGTTGATGCCTAACCCACAAGTATGTTAGGCTGCCACCAAAGTCATCAGTATTCCTGAGTATACACAATATCTAAATCCTTCCTATTGGTTTTGGAAATCTCATCCTCTGTCTCTTTTTAAAAGTATACAGACCTACCTACATAAAGAGACACATATATGTTCATGTAAAATAGACACAGATTACAGATAAGCCACGAAGACTACAACGAATTTAGAGATGTATTTGTCAAGATTCCTGTCCATTCATACCCTTTGGGTTACAGTGTCCTCGGTGATGCAGCCCTACCCTTTGGTATGGGGACATTATGATGTGTGTAAAACTCAGATTTACACAGAAGAAGGGAAAGTGTGGGATTACATGGCCTGTCAGCCAGAATCCACGGACATGACCAAATATCTGAAAGTGAAACTGGATCCTCCCGATATTACCTGTGGAGACCCTCCTGAGTCATTCTGTGCAATGGTGAGGCAATGCTTTTGAGTAGAATATTTCGTATAAATGGGGTTGAATTGCATATGCATTCCAAGATGTGAGCATGGAACTCAATTCATGAAGGTGGCAGATTTCTGTAAACAGGCTAGCTTCATTCTCAGCGGAGGCTTGCACCATCTAGAATTACAACTGATGCATTGGAACTCTCTGCTTCCCAGCAAACTAAGAGTTTCACTGAGACTGGCAATATATACAGTGGTACCTTGGTTCATGAACTTAATTTTTGCCATGATTCTGGGCAAAGCCCAGTTGGATGAGAACCGAATCAAATTTTCCCCTAAGGTCAACATTGAGCCTAACTGTTGAATTGTATTTGATTCTCGTCCAATTTGGTTTGCCACCAGAATCATGGCAAGAATTAAGTTCATGAACTGAGGTAGATAGACAAAGTTCTACTGAAGGCTAAATTTCAGATCAGATATTGGGAATATGATTAAGTCCAATATGTTACATTAAGGTAAAACTCAATGGCAAACCAACTTTGAAGGTGTCTTTAGACTCGTATATGAGGCCAGTCCCAAATTCAGTGTAGTTGAAGATGAGGTTAGATGTCATGGCTTCTGTCAACAGGAAGTGGTTGTGATTTGGAAGTCCCTGCTTAGTAGACCAGTGAATAAAACAACAGACGAGAGAGGGACTACAGTCTGATATGCTTTTCCAGAAGTCTTTTTACCAAATCATATAGCCTCCTTATATCAAAGATCACCATTTTGTGTGTATATTTTAAAGAGGAATATCGGAATGTTGAAAACATTCACTGGAAAGTGATGACCAAGGATATGAAAATTCAAATACCCTCTTTTTGATAAGGAAAAGTTACAGAATGCATTATTCTTGGTGTACATAAGTCTTTTCCTTGGTGAAAAAGTAGCGGCACTGGGTGATACATTGAGTTTCCAAGAAGGATACAGCTGATGGTTTGCATGTAGGGTATTAGTAAAGAGATTAGTGATTTAAATGGTGTCAGTTAACACACTAAAGAATTCAGACAGTATGCTCATTTGGTTTGTGTTGCTGTTTTTTTATTATGGGCTGTCTTTATTTGATGCAAGGTCTGTGATCCCATTTTTCTCCACATAACAGATATAATCATGTGGCAGATTTTAATAGTATTCTTACTTGATTTTCTTATCTTGAACCTGGCCTGGCGTTTTCAGGATAGTGAAACTATTAATCAAAGTAGCATCTGTTCGCAGTCCCCAGTGAGTTAAATTAGCATAAGATCATCTTAGACCAAGTACTATAGAAAAGGTTTTGTAACAAGAAACAATTTTGAGCAATAAGGAGTGCTTTCACCTAAAAGCTAAGGGCTTGCCATTTTTCAGAAGTGCCTTTAGGGACTGGTTTGAATTATAGTCTAAACCTGATTCTGTGGAGAGTGAGAAAAAGAGCTTGGCTATTAGGTGTCACTATGACTAAAGTGCCCTGAAAGACTAAATATTTCAAAGAGAGGCCCGTCTCTCTGGGAAACAGGTATATGCTTTGCAAAGAAGTTACATTTTAGAAACCGCACGCTTCCTGAGGAGTTTATTCAAACATACTAGTAAAAGTATAATAAATCTGCAAAAGAGCGGGGAAATTTGTTGGTTTGGGGTAAGATCTTTAATAATTTCTCATGAAAGGTCAAATTTAAGATGGCATTGAATTTGCTGTTCAGATGGTAGGTTGTGCAATCTTCTGCTCCTTACAGCAGAGGAAGAGTTCTGGGCCAACTCTGTGTGTTATTAAGAGCTCTCTAGCTCTATATATTAGTTTACATGACACTTGTAACAATATACCATTTCTGAAATTGTTTAATAATTCACAAATATCCTTTTTTAGGGTGGTGTTTCTACTTGCACAGACCCCGCACGATGTGCTCAGGGTCTGATTTCTCTGTACAGCTCTTCTGGTTTCAGTCTGTGGCTGGAGAATGCCTGCTCAGCACTGCTCCTGTGCGTCATTTGGAAAGGTTTACTTGGCGGGCATCTTCAGTAAGCTTCTTTCTTCCATCATAAGCAGGAGAGGGTATATTATGGGGCTTCCTGTGCTTGCCTTTCATAGAAATATGATCTGAGGTATTTAAGCAAGCTAATTCCTATGAAGTCATTGGCTAAGTGATGTTAGAGACTAGATGAGAAAAGAGAATTCAAATGATTTTCTTCTGCTGGTCTCAAGTTCATTACGATATATACTTTTTATGTTCACATGAAACTCCACAGAACAGTCTCTTGAAAGCCAGCATCTTACTATGACGCAGATATTAAGAAGCCTTGGTGGATTTAACTTGAGCAGAGTAGTTTTTCAAGAGAGCATATGAGGTTTGTGAGATGTTACCTATCAATCCTTAATTCGTGTTCCTTAATATGGATTTGATTGGCACAACTGATTTAATAATCTCTCCTCAGATTACACACTTGGGGACTATCCGTATGCATATTACGTGCCAAGTTGGGGATAATGGCCCTAATATAGCAACATTTCTCTTGGCAGTTTAGGTTTTCCATGAAATTATTTAGTGTAAGGGTTCCTGACAAAAGACCGTGGAGCCTTTTCAAGACGCGGTCCTATCAGACCTGTTTAGGTGCTCCTTAGCCCGAGGTCTAATGGGGATCCACAAAGTCACTTGTGTTATGACTTGGTGACCTCTCCTCCTTGACACTGCATCCAAACCTTCTCCCTCAGAGTCGTTCTGGCCTATTACATCAGGGGAGCTGCCGGATAAGCACGTCACTGTTTAGCCCCGATATGTAAATGTGTGCTGCAAAATGGTTTCCTTTGCTCAGCTAGTGACCCCCTTATTAGCTATGACTATATTAGTTTTGAGCACCGAGAGGAATTCGGCCATAGAAATGTCCTGTAATTCCTGTAGCCGATTTATTTACTGTAAAGTTGAAGTTCATTGGCAGTGGATTATGAGTCTGTGTTGCTGCCCGTTGGTTTGCTCCATCCTTGTTGGCCAGGGGCTGTTCATTCATGAATGTTGCACTCATTTTAATCGAACGTGAAAATTTAGAGAAAACGAGGATATGACTCCTTTAAATAATTGATTTCTGCTTTTTAAGCTAGTTGACATATTTAATAAATCTTCAATGTCACGTAATTTTAAATAGTGGTATTTTAATTGTACGAGCATTTATAAACAATAGTTTTCTGGGAGAATTCTGCCATTTCTACTTATGGGAGTGCCAAGCAGAGAAAGGTGTATGGACATGAGTTACATGTTTTGTAAGCTATCCATTTTCTTTTAAATTTATTGTACTACCTTTAAATTGAGAGTGGTTAAAGAAAAAGAAAATCTCTGTTTTGTCAAGGGAGAAGAGTCTAACCATGTTTTGTTGTTTAGGCAGGATCAGTTTATTTGTGGGGTCCCATCCTTTCAGCCACATTACAAGCTTCAGGTGGCACAGTTTTGTCAGAAAACACAGATCTAGCGACAACAATGTGCTTCATTTGCATAGAGACCAAATAGGATGATCTGAACCTGTGTGTAAAGCTGAAGGGACAACACGAAGCTCTGACTTCTTCATTGTGTTTAGACAAACTTAGCTGTCATCTCTCCGTGCAACACCCCAGTGGCTTAAAAATGGCAAGATTATGTGCAATTATCTCTAGCCTGAAGCTAATTTTCTGGATAAGTTAAACGGAAGCTTTGAAAAGGAGCCTACAGACAGGAGAGATCGTGTGCGTTTGTACAATTTATGGTGCAGAAGTGCTGATGACTGTGGAAATGGGAGCCCTTGAGTGCTGCCATGGATTTCAGAGCCAATCAAAACCAAATTAGGAAACAAAGATTATTAAAAAGTCTTCTGTGCATGTAATTTTGGCATAATATTATGAGGTGGACATTAAGTGTTTCCCTTGGAGACTTTCCGCATCATTAATGCAGCATGCCTTTAATTACAAGGAGACTCGTATTACTAAAAAATGGAGAAAATAAAGTACTCTGAGGTGTAGTTAGCAGTTCCCTCATTATATTTACTGAAATAATTATAAGAAAGGGCATAATTTTTCTAAATAAAATGTCAGAATTTGAAATGAAAATGGATTTTCTTTAGGAAATTTACCAATGTGTGCTGTGCTCTTGATAGGTATTTATTCAAGTACCTTAACAGGTCTATTAATGATCGTTCCATATTGGGCTATTTCTAGATAGGCTCCTATTAAGGAAAAAGTCTTTAATTACTGCAAGCATTGTGGATAGAGCATATTTTATTACATTCAAATGAAGCTTACAAAGGTGCTAGAAAGCCTTTATATTTTCCGATTCCGGAGGAACCTATGGGGTGAATGGGTGGCATTGCATAGTCACACGGCTTCCCATAATTTAAATTCCTGATGTGACATCATCTGAGGTTGCCATCTGGTGGCTATCAGGTGGCCTTCGAGAAGTTAATTTGACAAACGATTACATTTTCAATTACAAAAGATTGCTATTCCAAAAAGTGAAACTACACTGACTTATATAATAATCGAATAATCTTAAAAATACACTTTTTTCGTATGAAAGGTAATTCAATAAATGAATGCAGTCTTAAAAACAGTGACATCTTTCATTTGAACTGATTTATCCCTTAATTGTGCCAGAATTAAATTTTTGAAAAAACCTCTGCTTCTTTCAATATTAACACTTCATTATTTAGACATTTCTTAGAAAAGTTTAATTCATGTTTGTAATACATTAAGTTCCACAGAGATCAATCTTTCTGATTTACCACTACATCAAGTAGATCTTTATTAAGGAGCCTGCAATAGTTCCTTCTTATCTGTTGCATCAAATATAAAGTACACCACCTCCTTTTAAAAACCTGGGTGTAGGGCCGGGGATTTAGCTCAGCAGTTCGGTGGCCTGCCTTGCAAGCACAAGGACCTGAGTTCAATCCCCGTACCAATAAATAAATAAATAAATAAAACCTGGGTGCACACAGACTTACTTCCCAAAACTTTCTATTACAGCCCAGTGGAGTCTGTAGATGACAAAAGACTAACCA